GAAGAGTAAAGTTCTACCTACAATAGAGGACTGGAGAGTGAAGGTTTCGCATCTTGCTGAGATGGCAAAGATTTCAGCTTATTTGAAGGATCACTCAAATGAACAATTTTTATCAATATGGAGAAGATGGATTGTTTATATTCAAAATAAGTATAGAATGGTGGAATATAAGTTAGGTTTTTAGATAAAAAAATTTTTTTTTACATATATATATATTGCACCTACTTATGTAGAATTGTATTTTGTGGAGTTAGGGATATTAATATAAGGTTACTTTTAGTTGAATAGTATCCTGGGATTAGGTTTGGGAAGTCCGGGAGGGGGGTGGGGGGGGTTTCAATTGTGATGTACCTGTGATGTGTTTTTTTTCTATGTTGAAAGAAGTAGGACACAAAATATTGTTAGGATAGTAGGGAGCCTATGTTTTAATTTCATCATCAACATCAGAGAAAACAAAGAACATGATGGTAAAATAAAATCTATAGTGATCTGAATTTCACAACAGCTCTTCCTGAACCAAAAGTGAATCAGTATTTGCTATCATGCATTTTTCCATTTTGTTCCCTCTCTCTTATCTATGTCAGCAATATATTTTTTTCATTCATCTTGACAAAGGTGCAGTGAACTGAGAGATATATAGCTCAATTTTTTAAGATTCATTTCCCAAAGAGCTAACCTAAGCCCTGTAGAGTTTTTCATCACCTAACTTGGTATCTGCAGCCTTAAATATTCTCTTAGGCAAACGAGTTTCAGGGCAATATGCTTTGACAAGGAAATTCATGGACACCTTCTCATTCAGTAACAGAGTACATATTCTATCCTGAATTTCTGTAAAATTGTATTCTTTAATGGATATATGAAAAAGGAACAAATCACAAGTTAAAACTTGCAGAACATCTTTTCTGTAAAAACCAACATTTTATTAGTAAAAGTATATGTAGTATGCACAATTTCATTTTTCTTAAGAATGCTTATAAAATGGACAAAATGGCAAGGTGTTTAGAATTATTTGAGGTTAAAATATGTATGATCTCGAGTCCAGTTTTCCATGAAGAACTCTCCAGGTAGAGGTCAATATTCAAGGAGATGAAGTGATTGCAAACAACTTATACTCAAACTACTAATCCTTATATCTATTACTTCTATCCTAAACAGCAGTAGCTACAAAATCAGATTTAACATACTGTAAATGTCTTGCTACAGTTGGTTCATCAATATTTGTAGCAACAGATTGTGACAGTTGTCTCTGAGATTGTCTTCTAGCCATTGCTGCTTATTGACTACAGCAGAGTTGAAATGCTGGAAGCCTTAATTGCTTAGTATTTTGGACAGGAATTGTAAGATTGTGAAAATGAGCTGAAAGCAATACCTCAGAAAACAACTTGGAAGAAGTGCTTCTCTAGGGAGGTGATCTTTGCCACTGAATATTGTTCTTTAGAATTCACTATCTCTGCCAACCACATGAAAACA